AGGAATGAATCCCACCTGATCCAGGTGCATCCACTCCGGCCTCAGTTCTTTCAACCTAGTTGCTAATTCTTAAGCATATAATTTTGTGTCTATATTAAGTACTGATATAGGTCTATAGCTGGCACATTGAGCCCCATATTTCCCCTCTTTAAGCATATTTACGTATGCTTGCAATGATTCTTCTCTCATTCCCAGCCCCTCACCAACTCATTCATATATGTACATATTCTCGGAACCAATAGATATTTAAATTTCTTATAATAGCCCACCGTATATTCACCAGGTCCTGGGCTCTATTCTGTTGCCATACTCTTCAATGCCAACATAGTTTCCTCCTGGGAGGTGACTCTCTCTAGGGTCTCTAACTTTTCTAATGAGATTCTTGGTAAAGCAGCCTCCTTTTAAATATTTCTGCCTTTTTCCCTTCCTTTCGTCCTCTGTTTTCTTTCTGGTTCCCAAACGTTACATCATACAACCTGCTATAATATTTTTGAAACGTATTAGTGATATCAGTGGTGGAGATATTTCTCCTTTTTCATCTTTAATTTTTTTCTATATAGTTCTTTGATTTCTTTTCTTTCAATCTTTTCATTAGGTATTTCCCCTGGTCGGTTCCCCCACTAATATAGTTCCAATTCCATAAGATCTTTTAATTCTTCTCTTGTCAGAGTTATCTTCTGGTGTATATCAAAGTCCAACTTCTTTTTGTGTAACTGTTCTAAATTATACTACTCCTCCGTCACAAGCCTTATTTTCCCCCCCCCCCCCCCCCATCTTTTTTTCCCTGCCCCCATCGAGATCAGGGTTCTCCTGATACTGTATATTTAATCTCCACATAGTTATTTTGTTCCACTCCCCTCCTACACGTAGTCTCACTGTGACAGAAGCATTATCTGACACAGACATAACCTCTGTTAGATTTAACCAATGACACCAATTGTCTGTGTTCAATCATTATATAATCCAGTCGTGACTACAATCTATGTGCAGGAGAGAAGAAGGTATAATCTCTTTCTCCTGGATGTTTCATTCTCCACGTATCAATCAATTGACATTGATGTAACATCTTTTTCAACCGTTTTAAATTTCTACCACTCTCTCTCTGCGTACTTGATGACATATCCATCCATGGATCCAAACAGAAATTAAAGTCTCCTGCCACTATCAGACTACCCCTTTTGAAATCGTTAAGTTTTCTTAACACACGCTCAAGAAATACTACTGGGTTTTATTCGGACAATAAATGTTAACTAATGTGCAGTCAACTCCTTGTAATTTTCCTCTCAGGAATAGACACCGACCTTCTAGATCCACCAGTCTCTCTTCCAGAGTGAAGTTTACATGTTTTGAGAACCCAATCGCTACCCCTTTGGCCCTTTTTATTGGAGAATTCGCATAATACCAGGTTGGATAGTACCTCGAATATAACTTAACATTTGTATCTTGTGATACATATGTCTCTTGTAAAAAAACACTACATCTATAGAGTATTGATGGATTTCCCGAAGTATCTTGTGTCTTTTGGTCAGAGTTTAATCCTTTCACGTTATATGTTATAAAAATTGATCAAACTAATTTCTAAAAATGTGTCACTTCTCCTCTGAATTTCCATTCTAAGGGAAATAAACATACAGTTAAGGACATGGTCATTTTCCCACCCTTCCCCCCAATCCAGCCACCCTCCCCCCCCCCCCCCCCCCCCCCCCCATCCAGCCACCCTCCCCCCCCCCCCATCCAGCCACCCTCCCCCCCCAATCCAACCACCCTCCCCCCCCAATCCAGCCACCCTCCCCCACAATCCAGCCACCCTCCCCCACTCCTCCCACCCTCCCTTTTTCTTTCCTCTAGTATTTAAAAAAAAAAAAAAAAAACCCTGGCCTAAATATTGCCCTGGAATTTGTTGTGGATCATTCCCACTAACGATTCCTATATTAGGGTGAGACTCAGAACACATACGCCTACTCTGCCCCCTCTCTCGCAACATAGGGGATCTAGAGTTTGGTAGCATGTTTGGCCTCCAGACATCCCGCCATTTCCTACTTCTCTTAATCATAGTTCCTACTGCCTATCCAGCCCTCCTACTTTATCAGGCGAGGGAATCGTAACATCGGTGTGGGGAGCGAGGGGGGGAAAACACTGGCGCCAAGGAGAGGTTGGAGAATTCCCCCCCTCTCCCTTCCACCGCCCCCTTATTTTTGGGACTTCCTATCTCAGTCACCTGGGCACTCCCAGTGTCCCCCTCTCCTCGGATACTGCCGCTTCCTGCTCCCGCTCTGCTGGGATCCTGGGACTCCAATGCACTCCACCGTCCTTCGCCAGCTGGCCGTCCCCGTCAGGGGCTCAACTCTGACCGAGTCTCACGAGGACCGCCGGTCACAGAAGCACCACGGCCACCAATCACCTCCCTTGCCGGGACCTCAGGTAAGCTTTGGGTAGGTCAGGGTCTAGGCATCTCCCATCAATGGCAGGCGTTTGGAGCTCCTACTACTTACAGTGCCATGTTCAGGCCCCTCCCCCTACTGCCTGCAGGCCACTTCCTTGGTATTACAAGGGGCGATTTCCTATAACGCCGGACCAACTAGCAAGCTTAACCTGCAGTCTCCAACCTCAGAACAGTGTAAACAGTACACAACGCTCCTCCCCAGCAGCCGTTCTTCTGGTTGATAGTGAGCCCTTCGGGGGAACCACACCCTCTGCTGTGAAAACTTGGGTGTTTTTTGTGTCCCTTTTTCTGGTGGGCTGTCCTAGGCAGCACCTGGTCCCCATGGATTCTCAGGAGCAAGCTTCCCCTCCTGGAGGTGGCAGGTCCTCTGTCCTATTAGAGACACTGTCTGTGGTCCTTGAGACCCTCTCTCAGGTGGAGGTGGTGTTTGGGTGCTTCCTGAATAGGCCAAACTGTTACGACAAGGTCTGAGTAAAGGACAGGTGTCCCCGTTGTATGTGGCACTAGAGGACCAGCTGGTCCAGGGCTTAAAGTACGTGTATGACACATCTTTGGATGCAGCCCTGCTACTCCAAGGTCTCCATCTCAGTGGTAGTGCTTTGGCGAATACTTTGGGTTAAGTTTTGGTCTGCTAGCCAGATGTCTAAATGGCGCTGGCAGACTTACCCTTCCAAGGTGAACATCTTTTTGATAGTTCCTCGGATGATATAAAGAACCTACCGGTGGCTAGAGTACTTTTCTTCCACAGCCCAAGAAGGGGAAGGAACCATGCTGTAAGCCGGTCTTTCCGTCTCTGCACACAAGAGGCTTTTTCATTCCCCTTGCTCCTCGGACACGGGCTCAAATCCCTTCAAGGCCCCTCGCAGGTGGTGCTAAGGGCTCCTGGCCTCACAAGGCCCACCATGAGGACTCACTGGTTCGCAGGCCCTTGGACATCCCTCATCTCTTAACAACTGGGTTCACAAAATGATTGTTTCCAACTACAAAATAGAATTTCAGTCTTGTCCACCAGAGAAATTCTTTGTCCAGTTTTTACATCCCCCAGTCTTGCCTGCGGGCTCTGTACAGGGTGGTGCAGGATTTGCTACTCCAAGGGAGTGATTGCCCCGGTCTCAGAGCCAGAGCAGTTTTGAAGGTTTTACTTCAACCTGTTAACAGTTCTGAAAAAGTACAGAGTTCTCCCAGATTCGGTGTTCCATGAGATTTACATATGCTGGTCTGCCTCAGACAGGGATCTGCTGGTGTCCCGCCTCAACAGGAAGGTGCTGTGGTTTGCGACAAGAGTGAGGGATCCACTGTTGGATGCAATGGAAACTCTAGTGGCACCGTATGGTCAGTTCCTTCCTTTCGAGTATCTTCCTTGTCTGCTGCGCAGGATAGAGGCTGAAGGGATTCCAGTCATTCTGGTGGCTCCAGATTAGCCTTGTCGACCCTGGAATTCCAGCTAGGGCTGCCCATAGGTGGTGGTGTGTATTTTTCTGCCTAGTGTCCTACTCCTGTAAGTGGCGCTGCAAAATCTTATGTTCAAGAATCAGAGATGTGTCAATCAGTGCACTCCGAGAAAAGGCTTTTCCAGTAACAAAAACAATACAGTACTGTCCGTGATATTTTATTTGCATTAACATACAATCTCTAATGTTAGTGCAAACAAAAAAAAGTATCTCAGACAGTACTTAATTGTTTCCGTCGCAAGTGCAGTAATACGGCTACAATCCCCTCAATTGGTAACAAAAAAAACTCATTTTCTTGGAGTCCATTAAATGACACTGGTCCCACACCTGTGTGTTTGATTATGCTCTTGGTATTGCTTACTACAAACTGAGGCATGTAGGTAGAAAAGGGATTATTCTTGGCTATCCTAGAGATTTGTTTGCCAACAGCTTATCCTTCTTTAGATGGCAGGCAGGTATATCCCAACAGTTTAATTGAAATTGCAGGTATGTATATAGACCAGTGTAACTAGGCATATTCCATACCTGAACCATGTACCTGGAAGCTTGGAATCCGTAGACACTGCTATGCCAGTGATCCCCACTGATTCAGAGTTTGTTGAGTGGCTGGCCTGCTGCATTTTCAGCACAGGAGGCTTGATCAATTTAACTATGGATTTTTTTTGCAAGTTATACAAGTTAACTTGACAAAGGGCTTGTGTTTTATATTTAGAAGGTGCTGTGTATATTTCAATTAAATGTGGAATAATGATTTACTAAAATTGTAGGTTTATTGTAAAACGTACAAAAGTATGTTTTTGGGTTGTTTTTTTTTGGGGGGGGGGGGGGTTTATTCTCTGATCTTGTTTTTTCCAAAAATATGATTTGATGGTTCTTTTGCTGGATTTTAAAGTTTATACTAACTTTTTTGGTTTATGTAAAAATATGAGAATAGTTTAAACCAGCTAAGATTGCAATACAGCAGAAACCACAACATAGAATGGTTTAACACGCCCCTTATCGGTTTCAAATAAATTAATGTGTTAAAAGTGAACTTTGCTGTAATGTATGTTCCTATTCCTATAAATGTATGTGTTACAAACATGTCACTTTTCATGTCCTACTAGGAAGGTAAAGTTATCAAAAAGTCTAGTGGGTTCTCTGGTAAAGGTTTTAAATTTGATGAAACCGAGCAAGCTTTGGCCAATGAGAGGAAGAAACTGCAAAAGGCTGCACTTGGCCTTCAGGATTCAGATGATGAAGACACAGCTCTTGACGTAAGTAAACTCCACTGACCTTCCAAGGTTTTTCTTAAATTATATACATCATTAAGGTTCCTATAAAAATTTAAACCTGAAAAGGGAACACTAAATGTGTAAACCCAAGTTGACCTACTGTATATGCACACTGTTTTCCTTGCCTACTTTTTCCAGTTTTCTGGGCCTTTTGGTATTATGTGCATTCGCTCAGCAACTGGTGTTATCTGAACATCCCCTATTTAATATTTCAGTAAACATGAATAAAAGTAAATTTAATTCACTAGAATTAAAGGTTGGTCTATAGTAAAGCCAGGGACAGTAATCCAAGATGGTAGTTTGATTGCACGCACCGTAAACTGCCAAAACATACCTGTTTGTTCATATTCTGGATCCCCAGATTGTTAATACGCAAGGACTTTTTGTATGGGTAAATGAGTTGCGTATGGTAATGCTTGGACCAAGCCAACAATCAATGTCTTTTGAAAGTCTTGGTATTTTGCAGAGCTGTGATGACAGCAGTCTGCAGAGCTGAACTGTTATCATCTATGCTGTGGTAGGTTCTATGTTAGTTACTCATCAATAGCCCTGCTAATTCTACTCAGTACTGCCCAGCCTGTGTAATCTTTGCAAGTAAAAAAAATTAGCGGTCACTTAAGGATTTTGGATATGAGGAAGCGATGAAGAACCCCACCATACCATTTTCTTAGAACTAAGGTAGCTAACCTTGAACTTAAGTTTTCAGTAACTATGGAATTAAACAGTACTTGGGCTAAAGTATTAGTAGTCACTACTTGGGGTAAAGTATTTGTGAACACTACTGAACGTTTGCAATGGTTACAGTGTTTAAGAAACTATTAATACATAAAATTAAATGCACGATTTGATCATTTAGGGCAAAGAACCAGGTTGCTTTTCTTCCCAGGAGAAAATAACCTTTATTTAAAGCCTCTGCTACTTTGTTTCACCACCAGGAATGAAGAAGAAAATACCTGGTACTTCTGTGTTTGGAGGATCATGTGGTTTACTCCTTCCTCCCATATGGCAGCACTGGTGCCCAAACATTGTCCCAAATTGTGTGGAAAGGGTCCTCAACCCTTTGTAAGCTATATTTTGTAATGACCCTAAAGTGACCCTGTTGCCTTGCCCTGCATAGGCAAAGCAAAGGTTCACTATAAGACTAGTACGTTTTCTTTAATTTCAGGCTTAATGTACTAGTTAGGTCCTGGTTCTCAAAACCTTGTGCCTGAAACTTTGTGAAATGTTTGAGGTGATCAAATGCAAATACCTGCGCAAACCATCAAAAGCTATCTGCAGCACCCTATCGCCTATTAATCCTACAACAAATCTGAACACTTTACTAGGGAAAAAAAAAAAAAAAGTAGGGAAAATGTTTAAGTTTTTATTGCGATCTCTGGCTCTAGTTAAAATACTTTACATCACTTTCTGTCAAGGTGAAATAGCTACAGGCATAGAATGTAAAGGGAAATATGTGACAAGGACACAGCAATAAAAAGCTGTCTCTTTATAGGAAAGTGTCTCTCATGTCCTGTTTGGGTAATAATAGTGGCAGGAAATGAGGAGTCTCCCTGACACAGATATTCTAATCTGCATTCTGTCCAAAACCTGAAAAAAAAAAAAAAATAAAAACTTTGCATGAGCTCAATTTTAAACTAAATCTGTTTGGAAAGAAATTGTGTATGTAGACATTGCGGATTATCTGAAAATGCTAGTTGCATGGCTGTTATGCTGGTATATTGGCTTCAATATTTTGAGCTACTGATCCAGTAAAAATTAGCAAATCAAGAGGGAGGCCAAAATTCATCTGCATACTTGTTCATGGTTTGTGACTCAAAGTATTGAAGCAAAAGGCCCATAATGATTGCAAAGCAACTACCACTTTCAGAGGTCAGCAGTGGGTGCTTTTTATTTCTATTGTGATGGAAATGACTGAGACAGGACAAAGCATAGGAAATTGTTGAAACACAAATATAACAAACTGGGTGTGTTTACAGAGTGGATTCCTTTAAAACCTGATCATGGTGGCATGATGAAAAGCAGTTCATGCCTTTTTTTTATTTCAATCATTACTGGATTGTCTCTGAAGCTAGAGATAATTTTACAAGCATTTCAGACAGTTAAGCTTATTTGCGTAGTAATACTTTGCAACTTGCTAGAAATCTTCTTGAGTGTAGTCCATCGTTTAGTCTACCACATTGAATAGTGTACTGTGTTAGCCCCTGTAAGTATCTGGTGAGGATCATAGTGAGGCCCGGTAATGCTCAATAGGCTTCCATGAAGGTCAACAGGTATCTCCAGGCAAAATGTTCTCAGGGAGAAACCTGCCTGTCAATTTCTAGCCTAAAGCTTGGACATCTGAGCCTGCCAGTGCTTCCCAAAAATGTAGAAAATGCCTCACATGTCTTTGCTTCTGGCTATAAACCATTTACACTACAGACATTTCTCATGTTAGATTTTTGGGGACCATAATCCCCACATATCTGAGAAATCTTGTTTAGTATGTCAGCTAATGCAAACCATTTATGCTGTGCTCTCAAGATTGAATGGTATTTCCATTGCCGATTACCTTTGTTTCTTGGCAACCCATCTGGGCGCCCTTATTTTCACAAAAAGAAAATGTCATTACTAAAGGATTTTTTGTTCCTGTTGAATTTCAGATTGATGAGCAGATCGAGACAATGTTCAATTCTAAGAAGAGAGTAAAAGACATGGCAGGGCCAGGTGTACCAGGAGGAGCAGTTGGTGCTGCAGGTACCACAGCTGGTCCTGGAGGATCTTCTGCTTCGGCTAATGCTGGTGCCCCTACTGCTGGAAATGCAGAGAAGTTGGAGATTGCAAAACGCTTGGCAAAAAAGCTTAGCGTTAACAAAAACCTTGGAGCAGAAGCACAGGTTTGTCTCATATGGAGGCGAAAATGTAAATCTTAAAGATCTATGAGTGTGTGTTCCTTTTTTTTAATCTTTGTTTGGTTTTCTTTTTGTGTTAAATGCGGTTTGTCAGAGGTAAACATTAGCTGCAAGAGCCAATTAGTCCAGTCTGGTTAATGTTTCAAACAGCGGGAGGCTATAAGCTTCCATTGACATATATACAGGGCTTGACAAATTTGCTTTGAATCTAGGAGCCAGCTAAAAAAGTTAGGAGCCAGTTTTTTTTTTTTAATGGCACCTGGACCTGTGTTTTGTGGTCACAGCAATCCTAAAACGCCCAGGTGTGAATAGAACCTTCCCGGTTCTCACGTTTTGAAACTCTCAGATTTGCATTACAGGCTGGATATTTTGTGTTCATATTGAGATGGTTCACATAGATGCTATCCACACGCATTGTGTTTTGAGTGCCATTATGAAAAGGGTCCTGTTCCAGTTTGTGGCGGTGCATTCCAGACTCGCAAGTGATAGAGTAGAGTGGCACGCAGAGATAAGTGTTCACATAGGAATTCTATTGACAGGAGTTTTCGCATGGACGTCTATGGGAGGCGTTTTCCCATTGAAGACTGTGGAAGGCGTTTTCCCATTGAAGACTGTGGGAGGTGTTTTCCCATTGAAGACTGTGGGAGGTGTTTTCCCATTGAAGACTGTGGGAGGTGTTTTCCCATTAAAGACTGTGGGAGGTGTTTTCCCATTGAAGACTGTGGGAGGCGTTTTCCCATTGAAGACTGTGGGAGGCGTTTTCCCATTGAAGACTGTGGGAGGCGTTTTCCCATTGAAGACTGTGGGAGGCGTTTTCCCATTGAAGACTGTGAGAGGCGTTTTCCCATTGAAGACTGTGGGAGGCGTTTTCCCATTGAAGACTGTGGGAGGCGTTTTCCCATTGAAGACTGTGGGAGGCGTTTTCCCATTGAAGTCTGTGGGAGGCGTTTTCCCATTGAAGTCTGTGGGGGGGGGGGGGGGTGGGGGGGCGTTTTCCCATTCAAGTCTGTGGGGGGGGGGGGGGGGCGTTTTCCCATTCAAGTCTGTGGGGGGGGCGTTTTCCCATTCAAGTCTGTGGGGGGGGGGGGGGCGTTTTCCCAAGTCTGTGAGGTCCCATGTGGGGGGGGGCTTTTTTGAGGTCTGTGGGGGGCATTGATGTCTGTGGGAGGCGTTACATAATACGTTTATAGTTATAGTGTGGCTGAAAAAAGACAAATGTCCATCCAGTTCAACCATTAAAGAAAAAAAAAAGTTTTAATCCTATACCCACAGTTGATCTAGAGGAAGGCAAAAAAACCCAGCAAAGCATGATGCAATTTGCTCCTGCAAGGAAAAAAAATCCTCCTTGATCCCCTGAGAGGCAATCTGATATTCCCTGGATCAGCTTTACCTATAAATGTTAGTATCCAGTTCTATTCTTTATATCTAGAAAGAATCCAGGCCTTTTGTGGGAGGCGTTTTCCCATAGAAGTCTGTGGGAGGCAATGTGTGTGAACCCTGGCACAAGGATACAATTTCTAGTCTCCCGTGGGACCTGGCACTCGGGATTTGTCAACACCTGTGCGTGTACATATATCTTATATTTTATATATATATATATATATATATATATATATATATATATATATATATATATATATATATATAATTTTTTTTTTTTTTTTTTTTTTATGCCTTGACTGCATGATTTCTGGATTTTGTCCAGCCCTGATTAAGGGCATGGAGATTCAAGAAACCACTTTCAAGTATTTTTCTTTTTTTGCCAGTTAGGATGTTCATATTCTATCTTTTGTTATATCTGTCATTCTCATTTTAACTCTGTCTTTCTGTTGCCTCAGGATGTAATGCAACAGGCCACCAATGCTATTCTCAGGGGAGGAACTATTATGGCCCCAATTGTTTCTGCAAAAACTATTGCAGAACAGCTGGCTGAGAAGATCAATGCAAAACTTAACTATGTCCCAGTTGACAAACTAGAGGAGGAGAAGCAGGAAGCTGGTGCTAATGAATCCTTCAAACGATATGAAGAGGAATTGGAGATTAATGATTTCCCTCAGGTAAAAGCATCAAACAGCTGTATTTCGAGCAACCTCTCTCCCTCACTGACTGCTATATTTACAAACAGTCATTCAGTTGCAAGGTACCTTTAATGTGGGTATTTTTTTGGCTGTCAAAGAACAAGGTATTTAATAACCCGAACTTGCGTTATTTGAAGCATAATTAAACCTCCGAATGGCCCCGGGCAGCTTTATGACATAATGTACTAGTATGCACTTGCAGGCTGCAAGGATGTCACTCCACATGCAACCGGGAGTCACATCATCATGGCACAGCATTGGCTCTGACAAGCAGGGTGAAGCAGTTATGACAGAAGAAATCTTACTTGTCAGTGGTTTTTCTTTTCCCTTTTTTGAGTTTAATTCCACTGTTTACATTTTAACTGTTAGTTTAACTATAGTGGCTTCTAACACTGTGATGGAGTTTTTTTTTTTTTTTTTTTTAAGTCCTCATTTGCACCCTGTCACCCTCCTAGTTTAACTGCACCCTATGGTACATTTTCCTAAGTTTGCTTGGGTTCCTAACCCCCTGGGATCTCCGATTCCTACTGGTAGAAGCCTATGCTTGGGAAAGGTATCCCACTAAAATGCTCATTTCACCTTGCAAAGGATTAATTTTCTTCCACAGATAATCGTGCATTCCCCTGAGAGACCACTTGAACTACAATCTCAACAGGGATCAATACCTACTGATTCCATTCCTAGTAAGGGCCTGACTCTTCAGTGCCCTTCAATAGTTCTGGATCCTGCTTAAAGTACTAGCCATATGTTGACCTTAGTACCTTTGGCACATTGTGGAAGGTTCAGGTATTCTTCCTTGAAGAGATTCACTTTCCTGGATTCTCACAGGTCCAAGCAGTGCTGAAGGTCCTTTTATCTACAATCCTCATCTGGGTGCTAGAATAATAATGCTGGTAGCCTCAGGTCGCTGTTGAGTGGGTCTGTTCAGCTCAAGTCCTCACTAAAAAATTCCACTCCATGTAGACCTCTGTCCCCTTTCAGGGCTTGTGAAGATGTGGGGGAATATACAGAGGCGTAGCTTGAAGCTTGTGGGCCCCAATGCAAAAGTGGAACCCCGACTACTGCCCTCCGGCTGCCACTTCCACCACATGCAAAGATACTTCAAGTGGCTAAAGAGTTATTTCAGAGCTTTAATACATATTGAGAGGGAAATTCAAAAGACTTTGGAGAAACTTTCCAAATTTTGACATACCTTTCCATTCTTTTGAATACCTCTACACAAGTATTGGAGAGACCACTTGTCTTAGGATAGACCCCATCAGCCCACCCTCTCAGTATAGACCTCCCTCAGTACAGACCCCACCCCTCTTTCGCTAAGTAAAACCCTCCTTCCTCAGTATAGACTCCCCTGCCAGTCCATATTCTCAGTTTAGACGTCCTCAATACAGGCCTCCTCTTAATATAGACTCCACTCCCTTCCAGCCCACAGTCCTCAGCATAGAACTGTAAATGATAAAAGCGAGCGCTAAGTTATAAGAGCAGCTATTGCACTAAGGTAAAAACCAAAAACTCCCTTGGGTATAGAATGTATAAAGAAAGTGCAGCGCTAAAATTATTATTAAGACAAATATGCGTATAAATATGTTTGTAAACCTTAAAATGTCCACTTATGAGAATAAAAATAAATGATAAAATTAATAAATGTTCATAAATTCTTCAGCAAAAAACGCACTGTAATTATACCTGCGTTTGTCATAAAATATTGAAAAATATATCATTTTAGGGTTAGCAAATATATTATGCATATTTGTCTTAATAATAATTTTAGCGCTGCACTTTCTGAACTGCGGTTGTTGCTCTCCACTCAACCTGCCCCGTCACACTGTGTCACTGGGGAAAAGTAAGCTCAGAGGGCCCGGGTTGGCTAGGGGGCCCTGCGTTGCATCCCATGAGTGTACACCGACAGAAAGCATCATGGGAATTGTAGTCCATTCCTTGCCACAGCATCCCATTCTGCAGAAAAAGTCTACAACCTCCAACTGGCCCAGGCCTTCTGAGTTTAATTTCCTTCTCCTGAGTGACACTGTGACAGGGAATAATGTGACAGAGGGACCAAGTATTCCCAAATGCTATTCACTGGTTCTTGGCAGGGTGGTTAACACCCCTCACCCTGGGAAGACCCATGTAATTTATGTATCCTCTTATCTGGCCCTTGACCTGCCCTCCACTGGACATCACCTGGGTGCTGCAGGGTCTTAGCCTCTGGAAAGGTTTGGGATCACTGCTAAAGGCTGAGTGATCTTCAACCTATGCTGGACTTTGCTGGGTGTCATCCATGACTACACTATGGCTACGTTCACACTAGCCTTGTTTGCAAGCGGCAGACAGGCGTTTGGGAAGCGTTTTTACCGCTTCCCAAACGCCTGGGAAAATTCTGCACATTGCAGCACATGGTGCTGTTCACACGGGAGCGTTAGCGTCGCGGCAAAACGGACGCCTCTGCTCGAGTCAGGAGGAGTTGAAGCCTCCTATTCAAGTCTATGGTGCCGCTCCGCAAATGCCCAGCCGGCGTTTGCAGTGCGGTTGCGGGGTGTTTGCGGAGCGGCAACACCATTCAAGCTTCATTATAGGCGTTTGTGGGGCGTTTTTAACGCTTTGCAAACGCCTAGCAACCGCCGCTAAACTGCGCATGCGGTGTTTGCGGAGCTCTGCAAACGCCAGACCAACGATTGTCAAACGCTATAGGGGCGTTTGACAAGAGTTGGAAAAGCAGTCAAGTGTGAACGAGCCCTATATTTCATAGATACAGCTGGGATCCTCACAAAGGATTGGTCCCTACATTGAGTGAGGATTTAGCACTCGAGTCTGGAGACCTTTATGAGAACTGATCAAGTTGCAGTCCCCATTCATTCTTTTCTCTCTTTATCTCTACCTGCAATTAGACAAATGCTTGTGGTATTAGAACTAGGATTCATACCCCTTTGCTCCTCTGCTCTTCTCAGGGGTAGCTTTCTGCTGTTGAACAGCTGGTCTTCCTTTTAGACATGCAAATTGTGCCCAATCATCTTCTTCCTGAATTGAATAGTTAGGAATGCTAGATTTCTGCTACTGAACACCTGGTCTTCCTTTTGTCATGGTATGCAAAATCAAACTTCTAGGGTTCAGCTTTACATGGGACATGGCCCAGTAGGAGTTTTTCTTGTTGACCTCCTCAGTTTTTGGTCTAGTTCTCTCCCATTTAGGCATCAAATCTTTCTACCTGTTTTTGGTAGATGGTCAGTCGGGAGGCCCATTGTTCCTTCAGGAAGCAGTGTCCCCTTAGCGATTTCTCTGTCTGGTGCACCAAGTTGATCCAAGTGCCCTCCCCTTGATTGTGGCAATTCTTCTGTTTTTTGTCTCGGCTCTTTTCTGTTTTTTTTTTTGCCTTGATTCAGCTGTTGATTCCTTCAAATACTATGTTATGAACAGTCTCCACATCTGTTGGTCCTCTCAGTGGCTGTTACTTGCGTTCAGTTGAACTGCTTTTGGACATTCCAAAAGTTAAAAATAAAATTCTGTGTCCCTCAGTTGATGATAAAGAAAGATCTTTGTACCTACCATAAAATCTTGGTTTAATTTTACAGTACAGGATTCATGCAACTTATTCATACATTATGTGTTGTAAGTTCGTGTATTCAGGTGATTGGACACCAGCAAGCTTTTGAGGTCATGCTCTCTGGGCGCCTCCCCTATAACCCTACCCCACTCTGTGAGTCCTAATTTTTTGTTTGTCTGTAAGTGCTAGACCTCCTCTTCTTCCTGAAGAAGCCAGCTTCGCTATTTTATTTTATCCTCAGATTCTTCAATCGACCCTCACTGTCTTCTAATGCCTACACAGAGGCAGTGTATCTGGATCGATACAAATATCCAGAATAGCTCTAATCACCATTCATGAGCACAGAATCCTCTGGTCAAAGGTTTGGACAGAGAAGCTGCCTGTAAAAGGCACCTCACACATATGTATATCTTTTCAAGGAAGGTGTCTGTTTTGTGATGCACGTGATGACTTCATCAAAGAGGTCACAAACCCCTAACCTCAGGCAGCTCTTCTAAATGCATAGCGTACCATTCTGCCTGGGCTTCAACTTTTAAATCTAAGTTTAGCCTTTCCTTTTGGCGCAATGCTTGGCCCACAAAGGCTACCAAGCCCTCTTCAAAGCTCTCACTGTTTGGGTCATAGACCATCCCAGACCTTTGGGTTCAAAAGGCAGTTTCAAAAGGGTACAAGATAGTCCCACTTTACCACCTCACTGCTTTCCCCTTGCATCAACCAAAATCTGTCTTTGGACAGTTAGATTTTGTAAAAGCTCTTGAACCACTTGTTGTCACAGTGAGTAATTGTACCAGTACCTGCTCAGGATAAGTTCAAGAAATTCTACTCAAATCTGTTCACTGTACCAAAGTCCAATGGAGGTATCCGTCCTATCCTTGACTTAAAATTCTTCAACAAATTCCTTCATATTACAAAATCTGGAATCCACAAGGTTAGTTATTGCCTCTCTGATACAAGGGAAACACATGGCATTCATGGACATCTAAGATGCCTATGTACATGTTCTAATTTCCCCACCTCCTCAACAATTTCTACTCTTTGCAGCGGTAGCCTAACACTTAAACTGGTTGTAAAGCTCAGATATGAAATCTGAACATAGCACATATTTCTGTGTTTACTTGCTCTCAGAGCACTAAGTGTCACTTCTCTCTGCTGTCTATTCCACTATTATCAATATGAATTAGTTCTGACACATTTTTCTGACACCAAGAGCTAAAAAGGTGACAAGGCAGGGAGTTCAAGCACACAGAATTTGACTGACAGCCCACGCTCTGTTCCTGTGATCTGTGTGAAAAGGGGGGGGGGGGGGGGGGGGGGGGGGGGGAGTTCCCTCCAGTCAGATCTCAGAGCTCTTGTACAGTGAGTAACTGCAGCTCCCTGCCCCCTGCTCTGCAAATCTTTTTCATATCTAAGTTTTACAAAAGATGTACAACAGGACAAATGACTGAAGATAAGTACAACTTGTGTAGGAGAATTTGTTTCATTTGTGTGTCACATGAGGCCAGTCACTTCACTGGGTATAGGTAAGGGTTTACAACCACTTTAAAGTTTGCCGCTTTGCTTTTCGGCCTATCATCTGTTCCCAGAGTGTTCACAAAGATCTTAGCACCCTTGGTGCCCTTTTTTGGGGCATCCAGGTGACAGGCTCTCTGGACAACCCCCTTCTAAAGAATTAATCTCCTTTCCAGCTCTCATCAAATATCCAAAAGACAATTAGGCTGCTTCAGGCCTATAGCTGGGTGATCAACTTCTGCAAATCTGCTCTCATCATGAACAGAATTTCACTATCCAGTGATTTCTGTGGCCCAAATACCAGGAATGGACAACTGGCAGGCGGATTATCTCAGCTGCCACCAATTAGACCAAGGGGAATGGTCTCTTCATCTATGTATGTTCAATCTGACATGCCAGAAATGGTGCACTCCAGATGTGGACATCCTGCCTCTGTATCCAGAACCAAGTATACTTTAGCTCTGGCCTCAGAGCTTTACTTATCCCAGGGTCTCAGTTCAGGCTAATATATGCTATTCTGCCTTGAAAATAGAGCAAGAGAGGAAAATGGTGACTCTACTGGCATCAAACTGGTCCAGAAGAACCTGGCACATATGCATACTAAGACAAACCCTGGCCTTTTCCCAATAGGCCAGGTCTGCTACCTCAAGGCCCTCTATTTCACCCTCATTCACAGTCTCTGGCTTTAACGGCATGACTGTTGAAACCCAGGACTTAAAGAATAGAGGGATTTCTGAGTCTGTTTCCTACCTCTCTGAAAGCAAGAAAAGCTACTTCCAGGAAGATTTTATTACTTAGATTGAAAAAAGTCACAAGGATATCTAATTCAAGCAAAAAAAAAAAGAAAAACGAAACAAAAACGTTTGACAGGCAGTGCATTATGTTGATGGGTCATGTTCAACAGGCAATACTGCCCTCCAGTTGTGATGAGGGGGATCATTTTTGTCACAACGTGCACCAGAATTTCCTGGCCACTGTGTGCATATACCCCCATACAACTTGGGGTGGGGGGGTACACAGAAAAAACGTGGCTCAGACACCTGTGTTTACCACATTACAATCGCAAGTGTAAACTAAAACTTAGGATCAGCTGCTGCTTAGTGTTTCATTGTTAGCTATTTTAAGGGCACAGTTGAGTAATGAAAATCCCCTGTGTAGCTCTAGCCCGAAAAGGACGGTTCACATGCAGTGGTGTTTAGGTGCTTTACCATTGAACTCTATATAATTTAGGTTTTCCATGAAAGCTCCTCAAAGATACTGCAACAGGATTTATTTATTTATTTTTTTGTGTACACTGCACCTAAAACACACAGGTGTGAATGGGCCCTAGTAGTCAAATCTTTCAGTAGCAAATAACTACCCATGTAGCTTTATCAAACTACACTATATTGCCAGAAGTATTGGGACACTCCTTCAAATCATTGGATTCAGGTGTTCCAATCCCCTCCTTGGCCACAGGCGTATAAAATCAAGCACCTAGGCATGCAGTCTGCTTCTACAAACATTTGTGAAAGAATGGGTCGCTCTCAGGAGCTCAGTGAATTCAAGTATAGTACCGTGATGGGATACCACCTGTGCAATAAGTCCATCCGTGAAATTTCCTTGCTGCTTAATATTCCACGGTCAATTGTTAGTGGTATTATAACAAAGTGAAAGCAACTGGGAAGAACAGCAACTCAGCCATGAAGTGGTAGGCCACATAAAATGATAGAGCGGGTCTGCGCATGCTGAAGCGCACATTGCGCAGAAGTCTGCACAACAGTCTGCAGAGTCAATAGCTAAAGACCTCCCAAACTTTGTGTGGCCTTCAGATTAGCACAACAAGTGCGTAGAGAGCTTCATGGAATGGGTTTTTCATGGCTGAGCCTCTGCATCCAAGCCTTACATCACCAAGTGCAATGCATAGCATAGGATGCCGTGGTGTAAAGCACGCCGCCACTGGACTCTAGAACAGTGGAGATGTGTTCTTTAGAGTGACAAATCACTGTCTGGCAATCTGATGGACGTGTCTGGGTTTGGTGGTTGCCAGGAGAATGGTACTTGTCTGACTGCATTGTGCCAAGTGCAAAGTTTGGTGGAGGGGGATTATGGTGTGGGGTTGTTTTTCAGGGGTTGGGCTTGGCCCCTTAGTTCCAGTGAAGAGAACTCTTAAGGTGTCAGCATACCAAGACATTTTGGACAATTTCATGCTCCCAACTTTGTGGGAACAGTTTGGGGATGGCCCCTTTCTGTTCCAAAATGACTGCGTACCAGTGCACAAAGCAAGGTCCATAAACACATGGATGAGCGAGTTTTTGTACAGGCCAGTCAAGTTCCTCCACCCCAGAGTCCTGACCTCAACTCGATAGAACACCGTTGAGATAAATTAGAGCGGGGACTGCAAACCAGGCCTTCTTGTCTGACATCAGTGCCTGACCTCACAAATGCGCTTCTGAAAGAATGGTCAAACATTCCCATAGACAGACTCCTAAACCTTGTGGACAGCCTTCCTAGAAGAGTTGCAGCTGTTACAGCTGCAAAGGGTGGGCCAACTCAGTATTGTCCCAGTATAAGACTGGGATGCCAGTAATACTTTTCGCAATATTGTGTGTGTGTGTACACAGGTGGATCACAACAGTCACTGCATCAAATTTCAAATTCTTTGGCATGTAAAATTAATATATGATTTAACTATGTACTTGGTTATTTGCATGGAGGTCCATTTTGAGTGCACTCTGCCCTGCATGTAAAGCAACACCCACAATTAAGCGATTTCCTAAATGTTTTAATGTTTTCACTAAATAACCAACATCTGTAAATTTCAGACTGCAAGGTGGAAAGTCACTTCAAAAGAAGCATTACAGAGGATAAGCGAATACTCTGAGGCTGCCATTACCATTAGAGGAACATATTTCCCTCCTGGCAAGGACCCCAAGGAGGGAGAGAGAAAGATTTATTTGGCCATTGAAAGTGAGTATGTTCCTGTGGACTTTGTGTCCAGAGATTCTATGAAGCAAATCTATGAACACTTCAGATACAGATTATGCAAAAGATGAAAAAGATTTAGGATGTTTTGTTGTCACAGTTTAAAATATCCAAGGGTGTTTTTCCTAGATAAAATATCTATTTTATTGTCTTTTTCCCAAATTATGCCAGGGCTCTGCTAACAGTTTTATAATAGTTATAATAACACACACAATACTCAAAGAAGCAATTCTTTATTTACAAAGGAAGAAAATTACTTATACATATAGAAATCTAAAGGATTATTACAGAGTAAATATAAATAGGTGATACGTTATGCAAGTCCTTCCCTAAATTCAGGATTGTGTCTGGGTTCCAAGAATCAGAGAAAAAAATGGCCTAACTTGACATTTTATGATGCACAAGCACACCCCACCCACATTACCACCCCTCACGCACCCCTTGAGAGTCTTTTGTCCAATCCCCAGTTTTAATTGGATTCTGCTGCAGTCGTCAACATCCTCCAGCAGAAGGCGTTATTACAATGCAAACAAACTCCTTGACCAAGGTTAAAATGAAAAGAAGAAAACAAGAAACATGTACACACACGCATAGACACACATGTACACACATGCACAGAGACACATGTACACACACACACAGGTACGTACAGACACGAATACACACATACATGTACATACAGATACATGTACATACACAGAAATACACACGCACAGACACATGTACGTACAAACACACCCACACACACATACATGTACATACACGCAGACACGTACAGGTACATACAGTTGTGTTCAAAATAATAGCAGTGTGTTGAATAAAGTGTATAAAGCTCAAAATCCTTCTAATAGATTTTATTTCCATACACACAAATGCATTGGGAACACTACACATTCTATTCCAAATCAAAACATGAAGAAAAATATATCAAATTTGTGTTGTTCCTCTAAAAAAATTGAAAAAAGGGAATATTAGACTGTTCAAAAAAATAGCAGTGTTTGTATTCTTTACAAACTCAAACATTCACTATATAAACTGAAAAATGTTTGAAGATTTTGCTTTCCTTTGAATCACTTAATTAATATTTAGTTGTATAAGCACTGTTTCTGAGAACTGCTGTACATCTGTGTTGCATGGAGTCAACCAACTTCTGGCACCTGTGAACAGGTATTCCAGCCCAGGATGATTGGACTACATTTCACAGTTCTTCTCTATTTCTTGGTTTTGCCTCAGAAACTTCATTTTTGATGTCACCCCAAAAGTTTTCTATTGGATTAAGATTCGGGGATTGGGCTGGCCACTCCATAACGTCAATCTTGTTGGTCTGGAACCAAGATGTTGCACGTTTACTGGTGTGTTTGGGGTCGTTGTCTTGTTGGAACACCCATTTCAAGGGCATTTCCTCTTCAGCATAAGGCAGCATGACCTCTTCAAGTATTCTGATGTATTCAAACTGATCCATGATCCCTGGTATGCAATAAATAGGCCCAACACCGTAGTATGAGAAACATCCCCATATCATGATGCTTGCGCAACCATACTTCACTGTCTTCACAGTGTACTGTGGCTTGAATTCAGTGTTTGGGGGTTGTCTGACAAACTGTCTCGGGCCACTAGACCCAAAAAGAAAATATCAAGATACCCTACACAAGAATAAAACACAATGACAACGTTGCCATAGCTTAAAAACACCCGCCTGGGCACACGGACATACCTACACACTGAGATATGAATATCATGGAATGGGGCTAAATGGCTCCAAGCCTCATAGACATGAGATGGATACAGCATCATATGCAGTGTGACTGCAAAAATGGTAAAAATACAAAAGCCCCAGAGAAGACACAGGATAATCATATATCGGCATATACGATCTGGAAGGTAGTGACTGGGGCAGTCCATGAATCTTGAAATGTATATGAATTGCTGGCACATGTAGTCCTGTGTGGATTGTTTTACTGGCAGTCAAAACAGGTTGAGTGTATGGATATCATCGCTGACAGCGGTAGATAAGTGTCTCTAGTAGACTAAACAGTAATATCGGCACTAATAAACAGCAGCCACAGATAAGTGATCGATGGGTGAGATGGATAATAAGACGCAGACTCTCGCTGCTTACCATGAATAAAGTCACCAGGTGTGTAGCGCTCGACCGAGCAGTCACAATCAAAGAGATGAATCCCAATCTGGACACAACCTGGTCCAATAGTATAAGCTCAACACTCCCAAGTACAGTTGCTGTTCTAATAGATTCCGGTCTGCTGTATAGTGCCGCTGGCTTCACATTCAATGCAGAGATGAGTGTAGACGTGACCACAGTAGCAGGTCCAGTGTGGCTCGGCTGGTTGGTGAAGCTGTGTGGGGATGTCTGAGTGTCCAGGACGCGGGCGTCAGGACACTGTGATGTCAACGCGTTTCATCCACTGAGTCACGTGAGCTTCTTCAGGATACTGAGGCCCACACATCAAGGGCTTATATAGAGACCAATACGTCATTTCCGGATTGACTCACAGGGAACTGCAGCCTTAAATTATCACTTGAAACATCATATACTGTTACAACATTAATTTCATATAATTGGAAAGCGAGTCAGCATTAACAATATATACAATCATACAACAAGTATCAAAGCATACTATACTACATGATAATATGCCAGTGAACCACATAGCCATAGGGAGTAACGGAAAAACTATAGACATGTTATCCTAATGAATCAACAATTATCCATGAGGATAGCCATCCTCCTTACTGAAAAAATAATAAAGAGGATATAAGATTAGGGTTCTAAGAAAATCTGTAGACTCCGTTCCGTATTGAGTCCTTTGGGTGCCAGAGACCCCAATTTTGAAAATCCACTCCTTCCGCTGGAGGATTTTATCAAAATTCCCCCTGGGGTTGGACATTTTTCAAGCATAAATGGCTTTTACCCTAAGGCCTAAAGGGGATGAATTATGAAATTTAGCAAAATGTTCAGCAACTGGAGTCTTATCATGCTTGTTAATACTGCTGACGCTTAGTCTTGCAGATGTTTATTTTATTGCAAGGACCTTCAAGCATGTATAGTACTCATGTTATCGCAAAGTTGATAAATTGCTTAATGTAATAAACCTTTTGTCCGTCTACATCTGTAAATCTATATGTACGGGTAACGAACCTATAAATGTGACACCGTTCACATAGGTACATGCCCCTGAGTGGGGGTAGGTCCGTGAGCCTCTTTTAACAGATGTTTGTCTATATTCTGACTGCACCAGATTTTCCTTTAAATTCATGGCTCTTTTAGCAATCATTAGGGGGTCTAGGGCCCACAATCCCAGATAACTCCGGACACTGTGTCAATATATGCCAATGCTTTGCAAAAACAGCCTGTACCTCTTCCCACTGGGTGCCATGCCGAGTGATCATACGCATGGGTGGGTTGTCCTGAGGGGTTTTATCCTCGGTGTTTGTCTTTAAGAGTTCCTCTCGTTGTGTCGAGGCCCTCTTACGAGACCGTCTGATAGTTCATTAGGAGTATCCCCTCTCACGAAATCTCCCATAGAGATCCTCTGCCTCCTGTCTATAATCATCATCACTGGTACAGTTTCTGCAGATACGCAGGAACTGTCCAGTGGGGATCCCCCGTATCAAGGACTGTGGGCGATAGTTGCAGGCCAATAGCAGTATTGGCAGCCGTATATATACGGTATGTTTTAGTTCTCAAACTCTTACCCTCCCTCAATGGAAATCAAAAGGTCAAAAAATGTAATTTCTCTGTTATCAAAAGTACCGTATTTTCTGGCGTATAAGATGACTTTTCAACCCCTGAAAATCTTCTGAAAAGTCGGGGTCGTCTTATACGCCGGTGCGAGCCAGTGTCAGGGCGGCACTTTTTCGAGGGGCGGTTCGGCGCCGCCCCCCCTCCTCCTCCAACGGACACTAAGTACAGGGGTGGGCAGAGGGGCTGCTGTACCTTACCTGGCTCCGGTCCCACGACGATCCGGTCCAGAAAGCGCGGCTGCTCCTTCTTTCAGTTCGGCCGCTCGATGGTCACGCGGCCGCTCGGCTCCGCCTCCTCACCGGTGATTGGGCGCCAGCACTGGAAAGGCACACAGGCGACCAATCACCGGCGAGGAGGCGGAGCCGAGCGGCCCCGCGAAAATCGAGCGGCCGAACTGGAAGAAGGAGCAGCCGCTCCTCTCCCCCACTGACACCAACGATGAGGCACTGTTCTCCCCACTGATACCAATGATGGGGCACTATTCCTCCTCCCCACTGACACCAATGATGGGGCACTATTCTCCCCACTGATACCAATGATGGGGCACTATTCCTCCCCCACTGACACCAATGATGGGGCACTATTCCTCCCATTGATACCAACGATGATTCTCCCCAACGATGGGGCACTATTCTCCCCTGACACCAATGACATGACAAATGATGGGGCACTATTCTCCCCACTGATACCAATGATGGGGCACTATTCCCCACCAATGACACCTAATGATGGGGCACAATTCCTGCCACGGATACCAATGATGGGGCGCTATTCCTCCCACTGACACCAATGATGGGGTGCTATTCCTCCCACTGACACCAATGATGGGGTGCTATTCCTCCCACTGACACCAATGATGGGGTGCTATTCCTCCCACTGACACACAATGATGGGGTGCTATTCCTCCCACTGATACCAATGATGGGGTGCTATTCCTCCCACTGATACCAATGATGGGCCGCTATTCCTCCCACTGACACCAATGATGGAGCACTATTCCTCCCACTGACACCAATGATGGGACACTATTCCTCCCACTGACACCAATGATGGGACACTATTCCTCCCACTGACACTAATGATGGGACACACTATTCCTCCCACTGACACCAATGATGGGGCACGATTCTTCCCACTGACACCAATGGTGGGACACTATTCCTCCCACTAACTGATGGGGCACTATTCCTCCCACTGACTAATGATGGGGCACTATTCCTCCCACTGACTAATGATGGGGCACTATTCCTTACACACTGACACTAATGATGGGGCACCATCATTGGTGTCAGTGGGAGGAATAGTGTCCCATCATTGGTATCAGTGGGAGGAATAGTGTCCCATCATTGGTGTCAGTGGATGAAATAGTGCCTCATCATTGGTGTCAGTGGGAGGAGTAGTGCCTCATCATTGGTGTCAGTGGGAGGAATAGTGCCCCATCATTGGAATACCATACTGAAATAGCATACCATATTGAAATCAAATCTGATGTTTTTTCATATTTATTTGGTGTGCGTTGGAAGAGGGGTAGTCTTATACGGCGAGTATAGCTCAAACACTATATTTTAACAGGAAAAGTAGGGGATCGTCTTATACGCCCAGTCGTCTTATACGCCGGAAAATACGGTATATGTGAATCTGATGTTCTGATTATTAACATTAAGGTCAGCCATGAAATCGTGAAGTTCCTGCTCAGTACCTTCCCAGAGCATCAAAACATCATCCCTGTACCTCAGCCATAGGGAAGCATGGCCGAGGTACATCGAGGAGCGATATACAACCTGCTCCTCCCACCATCCAAGATGGAGGCAGGCATACGCTGGTGCCCAGGGGGCCCCCATTGAGGTCCCTCGGATCTGGTGGTAATAGGTCCCCAAGAATTAAAAATTATTATTGAGAGCAAAATCCAATAGTTCCAAAAGGAATTCATTTTGTGCTCCCATATTTGAATAACTCCCTTCCAAAAAATGGGATACCGCCCCAAGCCTCCAATGGTGGGGGATGGAGGTATAGAGCTATACCCACCAATATCGTCCCTGTCCGAATCTCTACTTGAGCGATCTTGGCCAAGACATCTTTAGTATCCTGAACATATGATGGGAGTCCCATTAAAGCATCCAAGTACTTCCCGGTGTGTTCAAGGGGTCCCTGTATAGTCAATGCAGTCGGTCTTCCTGGTGGGTTTTCCAGACTTTTATGTACCTTGGGGATAATATATATTATCCACACATAAATGACCCCATTCTTTTTTTGGTGATGAGAATGTCCTCACAGGCTAGAGATAATTTTTGATTCACAGACAGAACCAGCGAGGGAAACGGATTCCCTCCTAACTTTGTATATGTAGATGAATCTTGGAGTTACATCTTAACTTCACATTCATATGAGTCCTCTGACATCAGAACCACATTTCCAACCCTTGTCACTAGGTTGGGTGCTTCCTTCCTTGAGTTCTCTTAGTGCCTGCCTTTCATCTTTCGAGAGGTTATTCATACCAGTCAACCTCCAGTCAATTTTGGATAAATCATATTGGACCTGATCCAGAAAACACCCAACCAGCAATTTTTACGAATCTGGGGCATCTTAGTAGATTTAAATTGTTAAGTGGGCCTGTCTTTTCGAATAAGTCACTGGGACCAGCATCTTCATCTAACTCGAGAGTCATCTTCTATAAGTGAGATAAGATTTTCAATAGCTTCCTGTTCCTTGTCCTTAAAAATAAATTCACTACTCTCTAGATAATTATCTCTCGCCTGCTTTTGTGAATGTACCAATCTTAAATACACCTTTCTAAGGAAAAGGCATTTGCAGGCAAAAAAAGATAGGCCTTTGCGGTGTAGTTTAAGATGTTGCTCTTGTAAATTAAACTGTGAAAGATTAATAACCTTCATATCTGACATTTCCCTGTTTGATAGATCTACATCATGATCACAGTTATTTATTTCCGCTTCTGGCTCCTGGTGATCATTTTCAATGTTTCTGCCAACGGTTCTTTTACTCTGCCTTCAGTCACCTAATTAGTAAATAGAGTCCACCTGTGTGTAATTTAATCTCAGTATAAATACCTGTAAAGCCCTCAGAGGTTTGTTAGAGAACATTGGTGAACAAACCGCATCATGAAGGCCAAGAAACACTCTGGACAGGTCAGGGATAAAATTGTGGAGAAAAGTTAGCTTATGAAAAAAATATCCCAAGCTTTGAACATCCCATGAAGTACTGTTCAATCCATCATCCAAAAATGGAAAGAGTATGGCATTGGAGAGCATTAATCAAAGAAGCAACCAAGAGGCCCATGGTAACTCTGGAGGAGCTGCAGAGATCCACAGCTTAGGTGAGAGAATCTGTCCACAGGACACTATTAGTCACTCCATGCACTCCACAAATCTGGCCTTTATGGAAGAGTGGCAAGAAGAAAGCCATTGTTGAAAAAATCCATAAGAAGTCCCGTTTGCAGTTTGTGAGAAGCCATGTGGGGGGACACAGCAAACATATGGAAGAAAGGTGTTCTGATCAGATGAGACGAGAATTGAACTTTGGCCTAAAAGCAAAACGCTATGTGTGGCACTAACCTAACACTGCACATCACCCTTAACACAGCATCCCCACCGTGAAAATGGTAGTGACATCATGTTGTGGGGATGTTTTTCTTCAGCAGGGACACGGAAGCTGGTCAGAGTTGATGGGAAGATGGATGGAGTCAAATACAGAGCAATCTTAGAAGAAAGCCTGTTAGTCTGCAAAAGACTTGAGACAGGGACGGAGGTTCACCTTCCAGCAGGACAACAACCCTAAACATACAGCCAGAGCTACAATAGAATAGTTTAGATCAAAGCATAGTCATGTGTTAGAATGGCCCAATCAATGTCCAGACCTAAATCCAATTGAGACTTGAAAACTGCTGTTCACAGACGCTCTCCATCCAATGTGACAGAGCTTGAGCTATTTTGCAAAGAAGAATGAGCAAATATTTCATTCTCTAGATGTGAAAAGCTGTTAGAGACATACCCAAAAAGACTTGCAGCTGTAAAAGTCTTGACTCAGGGGGCTGAATACAAATGTATGCCACACTTTTCAGATATTTACTTGTAAAAAATGTTGAAAACCATTTATCATTTTCCTTCCACTTTACAATTATGTGCCACTTTGTGTTGGTCCATCACATAAAATCCCAATGAAACACATTTACGTTTGTGGTTGTAACATGACAAAATGTGGAAAATTCAAGGGGTATGAATACTTTTTCAAGGCACTGTATTTCAAGAACTTTTGCTGGTTTATCCCACTCTTTTGCAATCGGTCCGTTTTTTTTTTTTTTTTTTGTTTTACTTTTTTTTGGGGGGGGGGGGGGTGTTATTTTTGCAGGCTTGATTTTCATTTTACATATTTTGTTTTTTTGGATGTTCTTTTCTTATTTATAGCTTTTCTTTTACTTTGCACATGAGCCACGTAGGTTTTAATTTTAGCCTTTTAAATGTATTGCCCATGGGAATATATTTTGCAGTAAGTTTGCATACAGTTAATTTGATGCGTCCATATTCTATACCAATATTCCCTCCCAGTCTAAAATCTTGGAGAGCAGCCTCAGCCTTGGAAAATTTCCACTCTTAAAATTGTATTTTATCTTTCCAGTATGTGTTTGTTTGCAGCTAACCTTAAATGAAATCATGTTATGGTCACTGCTACCCAGATGTTTTTATATGAATATTCGTAATAAGCACCACAATATTTGATATTGCCAGGCCCTGCAGAGCATCATTTTTAGTTGAGGCTTCTATAAACTGTACCATAAAATTGTCTTGTGAAGGTTTTTAAATTTCTACCCTGTTACTGTTCCAGCAGTGCTTATACTCCAGTCAGTTTCAGGGTAGGTGAAATCCCCCATTATCACTGCCAGCTCTTGCAGCCCTTTCTATAGGAGCTGAGTCTCCACCTCCTCATTAATACTGGTTGGCCTATAACAAACTTCAGTAATTAACTTTGTAGTGCGCACACCCATATGCAGTTCCACTCATAATGCTTCAGCACCATCACAGTCTCAATCAACAAGGTCCTTTTCTCACTTGCTTTGAGATCACGTCACAGAGAATAGCTGATTAACTTCTAAACTGACTGCCAGTAGACCTATCATTGCATTCAGATGATTAAATGATGCAGAATGTATATATAAAATTGGTAGTAGTTTTTTTTTCGCCATAACAGTGTTTTGTTATGTCTTAGGTGCAAGTGAACTGGCTGTTCAGAAAGCTAAAGCAGAAATTACCCGTCTTATCAAAGAAGAGCTCATCAGATTGGTATGTGGAAAGCACAAATGGAAAGTACACATGAAAATGTCTGCCTGTGTTTCTCACTTTGAAATGCATCTTCCCATCCCTGTGAACATTGTGGTGGCTGACATGGTGTATGTTCCAGTATTCACATTAAGCTTCTTTTATATGTACATCTGAGCCTGTGCAGTGTAAATTATGGCATATTTTCCCTCACCTGGGAAATCCAAGCCTATAAACTTGAATGGCTGTGCACAGCTGTACTAGGGGTATATGCGTGCTTGCATAAACAGAAGTATAGTGGATGCATTTCAAGAGTAGGGCATTTTATTCAGCCTGTATGTTATACTTGTGTTTACGTGAGCCGCAGCTTATACCAAAGTTCAACCATTCATGTCTAGGGGTGGCTGTTCACAGCACCTGGGCTTTCGGGCAATGGAAAGACACTGGGATTTATATTGCATGGGCTCAGGTGCCTATGTGCACAAGGCCTTTACTGGGACTTATGCTTCCTAATTGAACAAATAAACTGCCCTTGTCTGATTGTAACTTGATTTCTTGATCCTTTTTCCCCTTGAGTCTGTGTGGTGGTGTTTTGTTGTGTGGTGAAGTCTCGGTTCTGCACCCTCTACCTTTTTGCCTTTGGCTTCTGTCTAAAAATATCAAACAGGTGTAATTTTTATGTAATGCAGCTGAATGGTATTAGTCATTGTGAAAATTAGCATCATTCCTCTTTCAGTGCTATATTGCTACAGATGCTGGCAAGAACAATTGGTTTGCATAAATTGTTACCATAACATTAGAGTAAGATCACATTGAGCCAGGCCATCTTTTAGTATTTCTCAACTTTTAATAGGAACCTAACAAGATAGAAATGTGGAAGCTGCCAATATTGATGTATAGTTAATGAGTAAATGTGAATTTTTACATATACTTTTACAAGCTTTAAAAACATGAGTATATTTACATTCAGTCAAGCAGGTTTGTATCTAAAATTATTCATTTCTTTTAAGAAGGACCATATTTACCTTTAAAGAAAGCTTGAATTCCAAAAATGAAGATTGAATATGTTACAGGGAACAGCTAGAAATGTTATTGTACCTATTATGCTAAGTAAAATAGCTGTGCACTTCCTGGTAGAGGGTGTGTATTTGGATCTCTTTTGCATACAGCCTTTTAGCTGTATATCTGCAGTGCAAAAACTAGCAATCAGAAGTAGCAATGCCTCAGATGTGCACTGCAGATCTCACTGCAGCTGATCTTTTCCCATTACTGACTTACTAGTGCCTTGCTTCGACTATCTCTGTATGAAGGTAGCCATTTAGGTAGAAGCAGAGATGTGCATCCCCATTCCAGAGCTTCCAGCAAGGTGAGCCAGTAATAACATTGTCAAATCTTACTTCATGTCTGTTGAAAACTAGCAGTCAGAAGCAGCAGTGCCTTAGATTCAAAGACTTGAAGTCAGATTTTAAAACATTACTACTGTGTGGCTGACCTTTGTGGAGGCTCTAACATGAGGAAGCCCATCTCTGCCTATATCAAGTTGGCTACCTTCATACAGAGATAAAGTGCAGAATAAGGCCTGGTAAGACCGTAATGGGGAAAGATCAGCTGCAATGAGACCATGAGCAATTCTGGGCACTAGGCCTTTGCCCTCTGCCTGCCATTTTTGGCACTGCACAGTTGGCCACTTTCAGAGTTCAGTTTCTATTTAGGACCCTCACAAAGGCAGTTTTAGAGGGGACAGTGCCAGCACGAGTAATAGTTCCTGTTTTTTTCTTTTAAGAACTCACAAGGCTTACTAAAGTATACCGCGTCTTTAAAAATAATCACCCCCTTATAAGTGGTGGAGCCTATCTTCACTGAAGAAAAATTACATCTCTCTCCCTCCCTCTGACCTGTCAGTGTGACTGGAAGTGAGGGGAATTCTCAGTGAGGACAGAGAAAACAGAGACTTGACAGAGGTTCAAAGCCTTTCTTCTGCTGCCCCAAAAACGTTGTTGGGCTTAAATTTGAATCAATGGACTCCCCTAGGTTTGCCATAGGTCCAGAAGGTAGGTTTTTCAGATGCCTACTCTCTGATCCTTTATCTTACAAGTGTCCATGTAGTCCAAAACCTGACTGCTTTGCAAATATCAACTGCATCTTCTTTGGCTGGTCCCGACCTGTCCCTGCTTCCATATCTTCCTCCTAACCAGTGAGGCCAGAAGTCACATTTGATGGGCAATAGGAATAAGTGTGGGACTGGGAGAAGGTGACCCAAGGATCATTCATTCAAACTGTGGTTGATGTATGCATAGTAGAAAGTCTAGGTTTTGGAAATGGTTGCTGAAGGCACCTGGAGCCCCTTTAGAAATGAGGTGAAGCTGATAGGTTCAATTAAAGCATCTGTAACCCTTTTAATTAATTACTCTAATTGCAATACCAATTTATGCTGTATTTTACTCTGTGAAAAATATACCTCTAAGTTTCTGCCTTTTTTTTTTTTTTTACAGCAAAATTCCTACCAGCCCGCAAACAAAGGACGTTACAAAGTGCTTTAACATTGGGCAGATGGTTGACATGCCAGCTTGTGTTTTTGGTCCGTTGTTATCCTGTGTTGTAAATGATGCTCTACTTTTATTTTACCTTTTATTTTAAATAAAAATCTGATGAAGAAGGAAAGTAAATATGGATTTCAAATCAAGCATTGTTTCTTCAAAGCATGAGAGGAGAGTTTGTATATTTTCCAACATCAAAAATTAAAATTTGTTTTAAAATTCACTGCACAGCTTCTTACTATATTCTAGACTATATTTGTATTTTTTTCTACATTTTAAATTTACATCTAATACTACAGTTAGTGGAATTTTTTGTGAATAAATTTTTTTAATAAACATGTAAAAAAAAATATTTTCTTATGAGACGCATGTACCTTAACCACTTGAGCATCTGCCTGTACTACCCCTCCATTGCTAAGCCATTTTTCAGTTTTCAGTGCGTTGCTAGTTTGACTGAGAATTACTCATGCAAATTTTATATCCTTTGCAATAGAAAGAGGCTTTCTTTAGTTAGTATTAATCACCACTTGGTTTTTTAATACCAAAGATTTCGCAAAACAAAAAATGTTTCCCTTTTTGGTTTTAAAAACCTCAAATAAAATGTCAAGGCAATGTTTGCACAATTTTTTGCAGATGAGAAAAAAAACATTGGTATTCAGGTGGTTAAAGCATGTAGCTTGGTAATAGTGTATTGGATACATTAATGTATAGGACATACACAGAGGGTAAAAGGTTAATGCACACGCCACATACAGTGAATGGAATAGATGAAGGTTGACTGTCCTCCTTCTGTTATCTTTCTTCCATCTGGGAGAAGCAACAGTGGAGGTGGTTTCCATCTGTTGGCAATTCGGCCGGTCATAGGACCTGTCACACCAATGGTGCGTGCTCTCTAGGGCCAAACAGGTTCCATCTTCTAGGTGGTCCCTGCCACTTCCTTGGCACAGTCCTCCACTGATGACAATATGGCCTTGTCTGTGCAGTGGCTTCAACCTAGTGTGTATCCACTGAGTCTGCGGCCTGTTGGGGAGACTTGTGCAGTGGCACATATGTATGATACATCATGCTATGCTCGTGTCTTTGTCACCCAAGGGCCTGTGTAGTTACCCTCCAAGTCACATGTCTGAGCACCTTTTATGCGGAGGACTGGTCTTATGCAGCCACTCCACTGAGCCTTTGAAGTCTGTTTTGCTGATCCATTCTGACAAAGGTTTTCCCTTGCCCTGCCTGATCTGATGCACACATTTACAAGGAGTGGGAATGCCCAGAGCAGCCAGTCCTGATCTTTTTTTCTGGTACGTCTCCCCCTTGAGGAGGCTCTTCTGTAGAAGAGAACCTCCTCTCTTGTCCTGGACCCTCCCATGCCTGAATTTCATGAGCCTCTGTGATACGGTGACGAAGTCTCCGCCTACTTGATGTTTCCAATGGCTGGGTTGGCCCTTCACCCGGTTTTGCAGCGGGTTTTGTGACACAGGCTAAGCTCCTCCACTGGGTCTGCATATGGAGTAAGTCTCCCTAGTCTGCATGGAACTGGTGGGCCCAACTGATCCAGGGCCTCAAGTACAATGTGATGCACCCTTGAATGTGGTTCATCTGGTCTCAAGTCCTCCATCTCAGCCGAGTTCTTTGGCCTAAGTGTTGGTCTGTGGACCAGACATATGAGCAGGCCTAGCTGCATTCCCCCTTCAGGGCAAACAGCTCTTTAGTTCCACCTGGCCAAGCAGGACAAGCATCTGAGAAGATGTACCCAGCACGCTCCAGTGACCGCTGTGTCCATCACTGATCCAAGTACCGAGCGGCAGTGTGCCGCACTGGTACCATGTGATTGTTGTGACCAATTAAAGTAATCATATGTCCAGTCCAGTAGTAAACATGGCTGCCACTCATACAGCCATTGAGAACTACTGATTGGTGATCACATGATACAGGGCCAGGCACCACCTCCTTATACCATGTGATAGCTGTATCCAATCACAGTTTTTACAGTAGTTCTCAATGACTGCATGAATGCAGCTGGGAACTGTCAGAAATAACTGCTTATGCAGCCATTCAGGCTGTATAAGCAATTCTAGTGCAAAAGAAAACAACAAACACTTCCCTAGAGTAGTGCAGTGTTATAAAAGTCACACTGAATTTCTCTGGTGACTGGAATAAAAAAATACATATATTTTACTGTGCAAACCTTTTAGGCAGGTGTGAAAAAATACTGTAAATTAAGAATACTTTCAGAGATAGAGGTGTTAATAGTATTTTAACAATTAACCACTAGGGGACCGCCCGCAGTACTAATACTGTGTGGCAAGGCAGCTCCTGCGCGCAGGATCACGTTTATAAACGTCATCCTGCATTTCGGGCCGGGTCAATCACCGGGTCCCGGCCGATGATTATCCTGCTGGAGCCTGGTGATTACGGCAAACACTGACAGGGAGGACGGCTAAAGTTAACTCTTTGATTGCCTTCTAATGTTAACATGTTAATGTTAACCCCTTCCTCCCCAGTGCCATTAGTAAAGTGTCAGTGCTTTTTTTTTTTTGCACTGATCACTGTATTGGTGTCACTGGGGATGTCAGTGACTCCAAGTCAGTTCCCAATCCCAATTTACACGTATTGGGATTTTTTTTTTTTTTTTTTTTCAGCAAAGACATGTCGCAGAATACATTTTGGTCTAAATTTATGACGAAATTAGATTTTTACTTTTTTTTTACTGGACATGTTTTATAGCAAAAAGTCCAAAATATTTTTTTTCCTCAATTGTGTTTTTTTTTTTTTTTGTTTTTTTTTTTATAGCGCAAAAAATAAAAAAGCACAGGTGATCAAATACTACTGAAAGACAGCTCAATTCGTGGGGAAAAAAGGACGTAAATTTCATTTTGGTGCAGCTTTGCATGACTGTGTAATTGTCAAAGTAATGCAACGCCATAACACAAACTGCTTCTGTAACTGCCTCCTGACCGCCCTATAGCAGAAATACTGTATACATATACGTGATTCGCGCTCCCGTGGTTTTCATTGCTCTCCCAGATAGTGTCAGATTGCCCGTCAGTACACCAGTAATCTCATTTACTCCCATTGATTACCAGGAACACGCTCATACACAATAAACCTCCATTGCTAGTATAGTGTCTGAACGGATCAATATCTTTGATCAGCGTTCACATTAGTATAGAGTCCCCAAAAATGCAGCGTTAGCGGGATGAGCCCCAACACCTGCGTTTAGCTCCTACGCTTACCCCCCTTCTCCCCCAGCAAGTGCAGTGTCAGTACGTCACTGTCACTTGATACATTGCACACAAAACCGCAGTGTTCGGAGAATCAGGCCTGATCTCTGTTAGCACTTGCCTGTAAATTTTGATGATTCTCATATGCAGCAGAGTGCCAGTACTAGTGCCACGCTACCTTTTGGTGAACTGGCGAGCACCAGCGGCCTAGTAAATCCTGGTCTTTCACATACCAGAACTGCAGTATCACTTGGTGATGAGGCGAGTCCCATAAGTGTGCAGTACAAGCTGGTGTGGTGGCGAGCACATGTATTGTCCCGCAACCACCTTCTGGATGTGCTTGCAAATCTCGATTGGCAGCCCACAAATTCTGCTGCACCCGTACTTCCCCCATTCACTGCCCAACCTGGAATTCAGGTGGAAACGACAAATTTAATTACTTCCCTTGATTTTTTGGAGCTGTTTTTCACGGAATATCATAGCATATATACCCAACAAGGATCAGCGGCATACTGGTACATCCCTGGACTTTGAATGGTTATACCAAGATGATGCTTACAGCTGCAGGTATCATCCTGGTATCATTTTTTTCAGCCGGCGATCGGCTTTCATGTAAAAGCAATCCTAGTGGCTAATTAGCTGCAGGATTGCTTTTACAAGCAGCGGGAGATGATGCCCCTCCCCTACGGCCTTCTCGGGCAGTCCCGTGCCATCAGGAGAACCTGAGAATGCAGCCGGTGTTTCTGCCAGCTGACCATAGAGCTGATTGGAGAACAGAATGGTGCCAATCATTTCTATATCCTAAGAAATCGGAAGCTACAAGCATTTCATCACTTCGGTTTCGCAAGATATAAACAGCGCCATTTGTAAATTGGGAAAGCACCTGATCACACCGATCTTGGTTTGATTACATAATGTAAGGGCAGAGGAGATATCTCGAGTCTGATAGACCCCAGATTTCTCAAAAAAGAATATCTGACAATGCCCATTGAAGTTATAGGGGATATTTGCATTCCCTATGATAGCATTAAAAGTGATCAAAAAAAAGAAAAAAAAAAAATGAAAGGGGCAGTGTAAAAATAATAGAAAAATCAAAATCACTTAGAATAAAAAAAAAAAAAAACAAACCCTCGCCCGGTGCCAGTATGTAAACAGCAGTTGCACCATGCATGTGAGGTATCGCTATGAACATCAAATTAAGGGCAATAATTATAACACTAGACCTCCTCTGTAAATCTAAAATGGTAGCTTGTAAAGGCTTTTAAAATGTTGCCTATGGATATTAAAAACGTATGCAGTTTGTCGCCATTGCACGGGGCATGCGCAGTTTTAAAGCATGTCATGTTTGGTATCTATTTACTCGGCATATCATCACCTTTTATATTTGACCAAATAATTCACCAATATATTGTGTTTTGTGCATTAAAAGTTAAAAAAAAGTGTATTTTAGAAAAAAAAAATTGCGTTTGAAAAAATTGCTCAGCGAGTACTATGTGACATAAAAAATTGCAACACCCACCATTTTTTTCACTAGGGTGTTTGCTTTAAAAAAATATGTTTGGGGGTGTAACTTCATTTCCTAGCAAAAAAATACAGATTTTTTTCATGTGAACAAAGTGTCAGAATAGGCTTGATCTTCAGGTGGTTAGAAGAGTGAGTGATGTGTGGCATAAACTTCTAATGCTGGGCATAAAATGCCCCCACCCCTCAAAACAACTCCTTTTTGGAAAGTAGACACCCCAAACTATTTGCTGAGAGGCACTTTGAATCCATAGAATAATTTTT